TTTTTTTTTTTTTTTTTTTTTTGAGACAGAGTTTCGCTTTTGTTGTCCAGGCTGGAGTGAAATGGCATCATCTCGGCTCGCTGCAACCTCCACCTCCTGGGTTCAAGTGATTCTCCTGCCTCAGCCTCTGGAGTAGCTGGGATTATAATCAAGCATATACTATCACACCCGGCTAATTTTGTATTTTTAGTAGAGACGGGTTTCTCCATGTTGGTCAGGCTGGTCTCAAACTCCTGACCTCAGGTGATCTGCCCACCTCGGCCTCCCAAAATATTGGGATTACAGGCATGAGCCACCGCGCCCGGCCTGAGACAGGGTTTCACTATGTTGGCCAGACTGGTCTTGAACTTCTGACCTTGTGATCCACCCACCTCGGCCTCCCAAAGTGCTGGGATTACAGGCGTGAGCCACCACACCTGGCCAAGATCAGTTTTAAAAACCTTTTAGCAGGTGTCCTATTGAGGGCAAAGAGTCAAGGACCACTGTGCCTTCTCAAAGATAACAACAAGAGGAGCCAGATTAAAACATTGCAAGGTTTTGTCTCCATTTTGGGATCAAAGGAAAGACTAAGGCTCTGTCAGGACCAGCCTCGAGAGTCCACTGGTGGAGGCTGGCTGCTGTGGCTCACACACGTAATCCCAGCACTTTGGGAGGCCAAGGTGGGCAGATTACCTGAGGTGAGGAGTTTGAGACCAGCCTGTCCAACGTGATAAAACTGCACCATGAGATCACACCACTGCACCTGCCCAGGCTGGAATGCAGTGGCGCAATCTCGGCTCACTGCAACCTCCACCTCCAGGATTCAAGCCATTCTCCTGCCTTAGCCTCCTGAGTAGCTGGGACTACAGGCATGCACCACCACACCCAGCTGATTTTCGAATTTTTAGTAGAGATGGGATTTCACCATGTTGGCCAGGCTGGTCTCAAACTCCTGACCTCAGGCAATCTGCCCGCCTTAACCTCCCAAAGTACTGGGATTACAGGCATGAACCACCTCGCTAAGCCAGAAAAGTAACTTCTTGATCCAGTGAAGCCATTTTTTTCCACATTCACACAAACTATGCAGACATATTCTGCATCTCATGACCATGTTCAGGGGCTGACATGGTGCCTGGTACATCACAGGAGAAAAAAGCAAACAATTTACAACTTGTTTTTCTCCCTAATTCTGTCTCTGTATTATGAAGACAAGAGTGTTTCCTTAAAACTAACACATTTACAAGCACAGAAAAACACACATTATCCTTAAGGAAAGCCAAGTTCAGCAATATCACAAAACTCCAAGGGACCACCCAGTTCATCAAAGATCCATCTATACTTAATCCACGAATTTCTCTTTTAAAGGAAGGCAGAGGAAGGCCTCAGTCCTTGGTTGCCCTACCGGAGCTCCCACCCTCTCCCTACATACACACCCACTCCTCTGCAGCACTGAAGCTTCCACCTGCAATCACTGGCTCACATAAAGAGACCCAGTAGAGTTCAGACACAGAGCAGACCCTTGGGTCAAGTTTCTGGGTTTAGTGCCACTTTGTAGGTGTGTGCTCTTGGGCAATGTACTACTACTTCTCAGTTTCCTCCTTTGTAAAATCCTTGGTACTTGGTCCTAGGTATTATGTAAGTGAGAACTATTACTACCTTTCTGCCTGATTATGAGCTACCTGAAGGTAGGAATATCCCCACCACTTCTTGGCACATGACAGACTCTCAGTAATGGTTGTGGAACAACCATAGTTCCTTGAGAGGAAGCATATTCTTCATTACTATGAAGCCACATGGAAATGGCAAGTCTCTCCTGAGTGCTAAATCTAACCTAGGGTTTGTCCAGAGAATAAAGATTTCAGGCTTTGCAGGCCACATAAGGTCTTCATAGCATAGTCTATCTTTTTCTAAAACAATCTTTTTTAAAACAGAAAACCAGCCCAATGCAATGGCTCACACCTGTAATCCCAGCACTTTGGGAGACCGAGATGGGAGGATGGCTTGAGGCCAGGTGTTTTAGAATCCGTCTCTAAAATAAATAAATAAAATAAAATAAAAACAAAAAACCATTCTGGGCCTGGCGCGGTGGCTCACGCTGGTAATCCCAGCACTTTGGGAGGCTGAGGTGGGTAGATCACCTGAGGTCAGGAGTTCGACACCAGCCTGGCTAACATGGTGAAATTCCTTCCCTACTAAAAATACAAAAAGCCAGGCATGGTGGCAGGTGCCTAAAATCTAAGCTACTCAGGAGGCTGAGACAGGAGAATCCCTTGAACCCGGGAGGCACAGGCTGCAGTGAGCCGAGATTGTGTCATTGCACTCCAGCCTAGGCAACACAATGACAGTCCATCTCCCATAAAAAAAAAAAAAAAAAAAGGCCGGGTGCAGTGGCTCAGACCTGTAATTCCAGCACTTTGGGAGACGGAGGCGGGCGGATTATAAGGTCAGGAGTTCAAGACCAGCCTGACCAATATGGTGAAACCTCATCTCTACCAAAAATACAAAAAGAAAATTAGCCAGGCGTGGTGGCACATGTCTGTAATCCCAGTTACTCAGGAGGCTGAGGCAGGAGAATTACTTGAACCTGGAAGGCGGAGGTTGCAGTGAGCCGAGATCCTGCCACTGCACTGCAGCCTGGGCACAGAGCAAGATTTCACCAAAAAAAAAAAAAAACCACCATAAAACCAACAACAACCAAAAAAACATTCTGAGCTCATGGCCAGACTAAAGCAGGCCACAGGAAATCCAACTCACTGGCCTCAGTCTGCCAACCCCTGATCTTATCTACTGCTGATAATTCCTATTTCCCTCACTTTATTTGCTCATGCAATACTGTCTTTGTACTGTGGTGACAGACACCACCTAAAAGATCACCAATACTTAAGAATCATGGACTCCAATTTCTTCGCCTGGGGTGATGCTGAATAGGCCAGGCATGTGACATGACCCTGCATAAAGGTCACAAAGTAAAGGCTGGGATGACCAGCTCATACCAACTGAGTACTCACGGTGGGCCGGGCAGTGTTCCAAGTGTCTTTCATGTACTACTAAATCAATTAATCCTAAGTCCAGAGCTCTTCACTACAGCCCAATGCTTAGACAAAATCTCAAGCCCTAATGCTCACTTTTCACAGGTTGTCTCCTTAACACAACTACCGTGGATGAATATTCTTATGCCAATTTTACTGAGGGGAAAACAGCCTCCTTCTCATCTTTTCTGATCCCCTTCACTTCTCCAGGCTGAGATTAAGAATACAGAGGCCAGGTGCTCGTGGCTCACGACTGTAATCCCAACATTTTGGGAGGCCGAGTTGAGTGAATCACTTGAGATCAGGAGTTTGAGACCAGCCTGGCCAATGTAGCAAAACTCTGTCTCTACTAAAAATACAAAGAATTAGCCAGCATGGTAATGTGTGCCTATAATCCCAGATACTCGGGAGGCTGAGGCAGGAAACTTGCTTGAACTTGGGAGGTGGAGGTTGCAGTGAGCTAAGATCATGCCACTGCACTCCAGCCTGGGTGACAGAGCTAGACTCTGTCTCAAAAAAAAAAAAAAAATACAGAAACTGGGCTGGGTGGGCACGATGGCTCATGCCTATAATCCCAGCACTTTGGGAGGCCAAAGTGGGCAGATCACTTGAGGTCAGGAGTTCGAGACCAGCCTGGCCAACATGGCGAAACCCCGTCTCCACTAAAAATACAAAAATTAACGGAGCATGGTGGCTGGCACCTGTAATCCCAGCTACTCTGGAGGCTGAGGCTGGAGAATTGCTTGAACCTAGGAGGCCAAGGATGCAGTAAGTGAGATCGCACTATTGCACTCCAGCCTGGGCGACAAGGACAAAACCCCACCCAAAAAAAAAAAAAAAAAAACTGGGGTAAGACATACATGGGTTAACCCAACTCTGCCACTATCAGGCTGTGTGACCTCAGAGAGGCCACACCACATCCCAAACCGTTATTTTCCTCATCTGTAAAAAGGGATTGACTTTCCCAACAAGGATTCACTGACAAGGCTACTATGGAGCATCCAGAATTAAAACATGGTTTAGCCCTATTCAAAAACAAACAAAAATCATCAGTGTCCACAGGTGGATGACTGCAGCGAATTACACATGTGTGTCACTGAAAAGCCTGCTCGTCATAGAGAATAAAGCTCATTTACCAAGAAGCCTCAGGTTTGAATACCAGCTCAGCTCTCTCACGAGTTGTGACCTTGAACAGGTCACCTCACCTCTCTGAGCCTATTCAACAAATATGCATCGAACCTTACACGGTATCAGGCACTGCCCTAGTCCTGAGCTCTTCCTGGAGCTTCATCTGAGCGTCAGCTTTGGAAAGAAGGGCAGAAGCTGCGCATAGCATTCAAGTGTAAAGCACCTGGGAGGTAGCGGGAGAGGCAAGCGGCTACTTCCTAGCGGAAAAAGGGACAGTGGCCCAAGGCTGCGCATTCCCAGGCCCAGAATTGCGTGCCCCAGCTGCCTTCGCTCTCCACGCCTAACCCGGCTGGCGCGGGCGCTGGGCAGCAGGAAAAAGCGAGGCTGGACGGGCGGAGGGGGTGGGCAGCGGAGGACCCTAAGGTAAAGGTCTAGCGCGCCTTGAGGTTGTGGCGAAGTCCCTCAGCCAAAGGCAGGCAGCTCCGCAGCTTTCTCCTCTCCCAGTATGGCTGTGGACCCTGGACCCTGGCTCCTGTTTCCACCGCGGCGTCCAAACAGTCCTACCCGACGCCAGACACTCACCGACCGACGCCATCTTGGAGTACTGGTGTCCGCTGTGCCGGGCCGCGCGAGGACTGCTGGGTAGGGAACGCACGCCCCATCTGGGAGCGAAGAGCAGAGGCTCACGGGAAGCAAGTCACAACTGTGAAGACTCTTGGGCTGCTTACTAGAAGGCCAGGAAGCGAAGGGAGAGGTTTCTGCAAAGCAAAAACTTGAGGGTCCTGCAGTTAGAGGGAGAGGGCGCCTCAGCCTGGGCTCCCTACTTAAAAGGTGGGAAGAGGCCGTGCTGGGACTACAGGCGTGCAGTAAGTAGCACGCCAAGCTAATTAGTTTTTTTTTTTTTTTTTTTTGAGACGGAGTGTCGCTCTTGTTACCCAGGCTGGAGTGCAATGGTGCGATCTCGGCTCACCGCAACCTCCACGTCCTGGGTTCAGGCAATTCTCCTGCCTCAGCCTCCTGAGTAGCTGGGATTACAGGCATGCGCCACCATGCCCAGCTGACTTTTTGTATTTTTAGTAGAGACAGGGCTTCACCATGTTGGCCAGGCTGGTCTTGAACTCCTGGCCTCCAGTGGTCTGCCTGCCTTGGCCTCCCAAAGTGCTGGGATTACAGCTGTGAGCCAACGCGCCCAGCCTATTTATTTATTATTATTATTATTATTTTTTAGACAGAGTCTCGCTCTGTCGCCAGGTGCCAGGCTGGAGTGCAGTGGCACGATCTCGGCTCACTGCAACCTCCGCCTCCCGGGCTCAAGCAATTCTCCTGCCTCAGCCTCCCTGGTAGCTGGGACTACAAACACGAGCCACCATGCCTGGCTCAGTTTTGTATTTTTAGTAGAGACGGGTTTTCCTCATGTTGGCCAAGCTGGTGGCGCACGCCACCAGGCCCAGCTAATTTTTTTTTTTTTTTTTTTTTTTTTTGTATTTTTAGTAGAGACGGGGTTTCACCATGTTGGCCAGGATGATTTCAATCCCTTAACCAAGTGATCCGCCCACCTTGGCCTCCCAAAGTGCTGGGATTACAGGCTTGAGCCACCGCGCCCGGCCTTATTTATTTTTATTTTTCAGACAGAGTCTCACTCTGCCACCCAGACTGCAGTGCAGTGGCACCATCTGAGCTCTGAGCTCACTGCAACCTCTGCCTCCAGGGTTCAAAAGAACCTTCCACCTCAGCCTCCCTAGTAGCTGAGACTACAAACATGAGCCACCATGCCTGGCTCAGTTTTGTATTTTTAGTAGACACGGGGTTTCCTCATGTTGGCCAAGCTGGTCTCGAACTCCTCACTTCAAATGATCCACCCACCTTGGCCTCCCAAAGTACTGGCATTACAGGGTTAAGTCACCACGCCTGGCCTCATGATCTCTATTTTAACATTAATGCTGGTCAGTTGTTGTGTCTAAACCACAAAAGGGAGGAGATATGAGCCATGTCCAACTTCCACTCCAGTCATGGCCAGGAACTCGGTTTCTTTTTTCTTTTTTGAGACGGAGTCTCGCTCTGTCGCCAGGATGGAGTGCAGTGGTGCAATCTCGGCTCACTCCAGCCTGGGTGACAAGGTGATCCCCTTCCCCACGCCTGCATCGGACAGTCTCGGGGATGCAGGAGCCGACAGAGCCTAGAATCCGTACACTGGGAGCCTGGGCTGTGGTTGTGTACATATAAATGCCGAGGTTTTCGTTAATGAACTGGGGTTGTTTCGGGAAGGTGGGGGTGGGTTGGAGGGAACAAGAGCAGATAATTAGATATACTATTTTTTTTTTTAAATTTAATTTAAGAGACGGAGTCTCGCTCTGTCTTCCAGGCTGGAGTGTGGAGTGCAATGGCGAGATCTCGGCATTGCAACCTCCGCCTCCCGGTTCAAGCGATTCTCCTGCCTCAGCCTCCCGAGTACAGTAGCTGGGATTTCAGGTGCCCGCCACGACGCCCGGCTAATTTTTTTATTTTTAGTAGAGACGGGGCTTTACCATGTTCGACAGGCTGGTCTCGGACTCTTGACCTCAGGTGATCCTCCTGCCTTGGCCACCCAAAGTGCTGGGAGTAGAGGCGTGAGCTACGGCGCCGGCCTGAACATAGTACTCTTCCGTTGATGTGGCCCTGGTAAAAATTATCTCAGTATTAGCTATGCAGAGAGAGCTGGGGAAAAGAGAATCCAAATCCCTGACAACCCCGGCCCAGCCTTCCCAGCTAAGCTGCGTTTTCGCATTTTCGTGGCTTACCAAACGTTTCTCCTTAGGAGACTCCATAGCCTGAGGGAGGTGAATTTTTCCTGACAAAGAGGATTATTCCCGAACCCAGTGGTGACGTCTGCTTCTATCCTGCTTTGTTTACTTTTACACTTCCCTCTGAATAGCTGCATTACAAAAGGGATAAAGAATTACTAGTTAATCCCAAACCAAAATAAAAGGAGAGAAAAGGACTGGTTGCTGCACCTGACAACTGCTGAAATAAGGTTAATCTAAAACACAAAAATTTTTGGATTTCCCTGGACCTCGTGGCGCAACGGTAGCGCGTCTGACTCCAGATCAGAAGGTTGCCTGTTCAAATCAAGTTGGGTCAAACATGTTGGCTGTTCTTCTCTTTTGACACCGGGAGTTATATAGACTTGCTGCTGACTCTCAGCCATGGACCACTGTATTTTCTGTTCTTAGCAGAAAGAACCTAAAGATTTCTTTGTGTGAGTGCCTCAGCAATGGACGGGCACCTTAGCTAAAGTGTGAGGAAAAATTCATAGCCAAAACTCAGGTCGTGCTGTTCACATCTGTAGCAGGAGTTATCAGAACAGTGCTTCTAATATAGCACAATTACAGGACTTCAGATAGGACCTTAAAACAGTGCTGGAGCACTTTGGAGGCTGAGGTAGGCGGATCATTTGAGCCCAGTCTCATGTTTGTAGTCTCAGCTATTAGGGAGGATGAGGTGGAAGGTTCTCTTGAACTCTGGAGGCAGAGGTTGCAGTGAGCTCAGATGGTGCCTGTAGTCCCAGCTGCTGCTTAGGAGGCTGAGGCGGGAGGATCCCTTGAGCCCGGGAGGTCGAGGCTGCAGTGAGCTATGATTACGCCACTGCACTCCAGCCTGGGTGACAAGGTGAGACACCGTCTCTAAATGAATAAATAAATAAAACGGTTCAGAGCTAAGGGAATAGTGGCTTTCCCAATCCAGTGTTGGTGGTGCAGCCAATTCTCCAGCATTTGAGGTTCCAGTGCCACTAAGACACAGCTTTATTTATTTTATTTTATTTTATTTTATTTTATTTTATTTTATTTTATTGAGTCGGAGTTTCGCTCTTGTTACCCAGGCTGGAGTGCAATGGCGCAATCTCGGCTCACCGCAATCTCCGCCTCCTGGGTTCAGGCAATTCTCCTGCCTCAGCCTCCTGAGTAGCTGGGATTACAGGCACGTGCCACCATGCCCAGCTAATTTTTTGTAGTTTTAGTAGAGACGGGGTTTCACCATGTTGACCAGGATGGTCTCGATCTCTTGACCTCGTGATCCACCCGCCTCGGCCTCCCAAAGTGCTGGGATTACAGGCGTGAGCCACCGTGCCCGGCCAGGACACAGCTTTATTCAAAACGAATGGGGAGAAGCAAGGAGCAGTTCCCCCTGAGACCAGACTGAGAGCCTCCTACTGATCAGCAGTCACCAAAGGAAATTCCACCCACCCAGCGAATGCCCGAGGGAAGCAAAAGTTTCAAGGAAATGCTTGAAGTCAGCTGTCTTCCCCGAGCGCGCCTTTGGGAGCTTCCTTCGCTCTTAGCTGGGGCCGGTCTCACTTGGAAGACACAAAAGCAATCGGCCCAAGGACTGTGCTGGACCGACCTGTCATCTCGCTCCCTCCTCATGTTCCTATTGGAACGACCTGCTGGACTGAGTTCCTCGTCCTCTGCCTAAGGGCAGCCAGGCCTGACCTCACTGCCTTCCCTGGGTTCAAATGTCTGGAACCTGGAGCACTGACTGTTCCCCCATTTTTTGTTAAAGCAAACAGGAGCTGGGTGTGGTGGCTTATGCCTGTAATCCCAGAACTTTGGGAGGCTGAGATGGGAGGAACGCTTGAGCCCAAGAGACCAAGACCAGCCTGGGCAACATAATAAGACCCCATCTCTTTTATTTCTATTTTATTTTACTTTATTTTATTTAATTTATTTTTCAGATGGAATCTTGCTCTGTTGTCCAGGCTGGAGTGCAGTGGCACGATCTTGGCTCACTGCAACCTCTGCCTCCTAGGTTCAAGGAATTCTACTGCCTCAGCTTCCCAAGTAGCTGGAATGATAGGTGCATGCCACCATGCCCAGCTAATTTTTGTATTTTTAGTAGAGGCGGGGTTTCACCATTTTGGCCAGGCTGGTCTCAAACTCCTGACCTCAGTTGATCCACCCACCTTGGCCTCCCAAAGTGCTGGGATTACAGGCACGAGCCACAGTGCTCAGCAAAAAACATACGTATGTTTATTGCAGTACTATTTACAATAGCAAAGACATGGAAGCAACCCAAATGCCCATCAGTGGTAGACTGGGTAAAGAAAATGTGGTACATATACACCATGGAATACTATGCAGTCATAAAAAGGAATTAGATAATGTCCTTTGCAGAGACCTGGATGAAGCTGGAAGCCATCATCCTCAGCAAATTGAATACAGGAATAGAAAACCAAACACAGCATCTTCTCACTCATAAGTGGGTGTTGAATATTGAGAACACGTGGACACAGAGAGTGGAACAACACACACCTGGGCCTGTTGGGGAGTGGGGGAGTGAGGTGAGAGAACATAGAGGACGGGTCAGTAGGTGCAGCAAACCACCATGGCATGTCATACCTATACCTATGTAACAAATCTGCACATTCTGCATATGTATCCTGTTTTTTTTTTTTTAAGAGTAAAAAAAAAAAAAAAAAAAAAAAAAAAAAAAAAAAAAACTTAACCCCTTTGGGACTTAATGCAGTGTGAAAAAAAAGACAAAGAAAGGAAAGAAAAAAAATTAACTCCTTAATCATATTAAAATCATATTTTGAGGTTAATTTACATAAGACAGAATTATCCCTCTAAAATGTAATATTCATTTTTCTTCTTTATCTGATAAACTTTCTCCCCTCCACAAACACACAGCCAAAGAAACAAATTGTGTCACTCTGG